ACATCTTAGTAATAATAATAATATAATAACATCTTAATAATAATAATAATATAATAACATCTTAATAATAATAATAATATAATAACATCTTAATAATAATAATAATATAATAACATCTTAGTAATAATAATAATATAACATCTTAGTAATAATAATAATAATATAATAACATCTTAGTAATAATAATAATATAATAACATCTTAATAATAATAATATAATAACATCTTAATAATAATAATAATATAATAACATCTTAATAATAATAATAATACAATGACATCTTAGTAATAATAATAATATAATAACATCTTAGTAATAATAATATAATAACATCTTAGTAATAATAATAATATAACATCTTAATAATAATAATAATAATATAACATCTTAGTAATAATAGTAATATAACATTTTAATAATAATAATGCGTTGTTGTTTATCGTCTCACGTCTCGTCCGCCCTCACGACGCGCGTTATGATTATCCCCGCGTTGTTGTTTATCGCCTCGCGTCTCGTCCGCCCTCACGACGCGCGTTATGATTATCCCCGCGTTGTTGTTTATCGTCTCGCGTCTCGTCCGCCCTCACGACGCGCGTTATGATTATCCCCGCGTTGTTGTTTATCGTCTCGCGTCTCGTCCGCCCTCACGACGCGCGCTATGATTATCCCCGCGTTGTTTATTATTTTATTTATTTATTGTTTATCGTTTATTGTGTTGCTTCATTTACTTTTATTATTTATCCCGTTATCATTACGTATCATCTAATTTATTGTCATTAAATACACAATATTCACGTATAATATAAATACACAACACGTGACCCTTTATATTGTTATGTAATAATATCGTATATCGTACACGTTATTACACGTGACACGTATATCATTATTATTTTCCTATATGTGGTTCATTGTCTTACGTTACTTTTACCGATTTCTAGTCCCGTTTGTTACATTATTTTATACGTTAGAATATACGTTAAATGTGTTATTATGTATGTTGTCGTGCGCGTTATCATATATGTTATCATATAAGTTATTACATATGTCACATACGTCATCATATGCGTTAGCATATACGTTAAATGTGTTATTACATACGTCATTATATACGTTATATACGTTGTTATACGTGTCGTATACGTTATCACATACATTAAATGTGTTATAAACATTGTCGTGCACGTTATCATATATGTTATCATATAAGTTATTACATAT